ATGGGATATAAGAAAAGCTATTTTCTGGCTCGCCCTTCGTTCTTGCAGTCTCCTAGCTAATAGTCTACTGGCTTTGTTCCCTTGCGTGTATTGATTAATTTTCAACCTCTGTAGCATATATCCTGTTTGTTCTATTGCTTTTTGGTGTAGCTTGTTTATAATAGTGGTGATTTGTAATTTTAGCTCAGCAGAAGGGGAAATTTGGTTTTGTGTGTTTAATTGATACAATTCCTTCTGCCATTGCGTGGTCTGGGCCGAGGATTTTCTACGTAAATAGGACGCCCTCCTGATAAAGATACCCCTGACTACAGATTTATGTGCCGCCCATAGGGTGCCCTGGGATATATCTGGGGTAGCGTTCTCAGTGAAGTAGTTGGTCAAAGTCTCCTCTACCTCCTTCTTGAATGACGGATCATTCAACAGGGAGGCATTCAGCCTCCATGGGCTGCGGTGTTTATAGTCATATTGGTCTCTTACTGACAGTGTAACCGGTGCGTGGTCCGACCATGTAATCTGTCCTATGACACAGTCTGTGATTTGGTTTAGGCTTTGGCCATGTATGAGAAACCCATCTATCCTCGAGTATGTGTTATGTACGTGGGAGAAGTGAGTGTACGTACGCTCCAAAGCGTGGGAAATCCGCCAGGTATCATAATAGTGGTGTAGGGAGAGGATCTTCTGTAGCTTTTTGCACTGTCTATGCAGTATTTTATATCGTGGGCTGTGTTGGGAAGTGTTAGTGTCCAGTTTTGGGTCCCAAACATGATTAAAGTCTCCACAAATAACTGACACTCCTTCGCGGATCGATTCAGTTCTCTGTAGCACCTGTCTCAGAAACGTTCCTTGTAATGTATTGGGTGCGTATATATTGGTGATTGTATACATCATGTTGTTAATTGAGCATTTCAGTATTATGTATCTCCCATTGGTGTCTACCTCTACAGAGATCATAGTAAATGCTACTTGCTTAGAGATTAGTATAGATGTCCCTTTGGACTTTGTGGGGGACGTCGCGTGGTATTGGTGTGGGTAGTCCGAAGTCGTCGGTGGGATATAACCGTCAGTTCTGTAGTGTGTCTCTTGGAGACAGATAACGTCCGCATCTGTCCTCTTGAGTTCTCTATATAGCTGGTGTCTCTTAAAGGACCACTCTAGGCACCCAGACCACTTCAGCTTAATGAAGTGGTCTGGGTGCCAGGTCCTTCTAGGGTTAACCCATTTTTTCATAATTATAGCAGTTTCAGAGAAACTGCTATAATTATGAATGGGTTAAGCCTTCCCCCTAATCCTCTAGTGGCTGTCTCATTGACGGCCACTAGAGGCGCTTGCGTGCTTCTCACTGTGATTTTCACAGTGAGAGCACGCCAGCGTCCATAGGAAAGCATTGTAAATGCTTTCCTATGAGACCGGCTGAATGCGCGCGCAGCTCTTGCCGCGCGTGCGCATTCAGCCGGCGGGGCGTAACGGAGGCGGAGAGGAGGAGGAGAGCTCTCCGCCCAGCGCTGGAAAAAGGTAAGTTTTTACCCCTTTTCCCCTTCCAGAGCCGGGCGGGAGGGGGTCCCTGAGGGTGGGGGCACCCTCAGGGCACTATAGTGCCAGGAAAACGAGTATGTTTTCCTGGCACTATAGTGGTCCTTTAACCGGTAGGTTTAACCCTCTTACATTGAGAGAGAAAATTTTCATGGGGGTTTATACCCAATGGCTTTTATAAGGGTCATCCATGGAATTAAAGACCAGTGCGGGGGGTTCGCTCGTCCCAGCAGCATCAAGTCGAGCGACCTTCCCTGAAGTGAGGGTAGGAATCGGGCATAATACACTCGCTGGGTTAGGGATGGGTAGGTGGGCTGGGGTACCTTTGCAGGGACTGAGGCCCAGTGTGTTGGATCAGCTGTGTGGACTCCCTGTAGGTATTGGGGGCTGGACATGGGGTGGCAAGTCTCCACGAGACCGGGGTGGGGGGTGGGACAAGGTAATAACTGGGAAAACATATAAAACATATACACAATAAACAGGTGTGCCATTCTCAGCCTAGGTACTCCTGGTACCTGTGGAGGGGGAAGTCCGAACTTCCTTCCTGTGGGGTGTGGACCCCGAGTCGACCCACTCTATGGCTTGCTAAGTGGTCTGTGAGTATTGGCGCTTAGCCGGGTATTAATGCCCCCTGTATGGTACAGTGAAGCGTTGTGAGACCTGCATACCCACATAGGTATAAATGCCTGTATATAATTAAAGTATATAGATATATAATTTTTTATTTTTTTTATTTTTTTTTTACAATTAAAGTATATAGATATATAATAATTTTTTATTTTTTTTCTCAATTTCTACACATGCCTAACATGTCTAGGTATGACATTAACATTCAACATAGGTTATAACAATAATACGATACCCCCAGCTGACTTCATGGTCCAGTTATCAGGACCGGCCACACAACCAGCTCCTGCGGACGCTCGTATATCTGAGTTAGTTGTGGTGTAGTCTTTTATGTCAGTCTCTTGGACTTTCTCCAGTCTTTGGAGGCGGTTTGCGTCCTCTTTGGGCTTCGTTGCTGGTTTGGTTCAGTGAGACCCCATCTTTGTAGCAGTAGGGCTCCTTCTTCTGGCGTGTTAATAGCTGACACTTTCCCTCCTCTGGACACCAGGATCTTCACCGGGTATCCCCAGCGATATGGCAGCTTGTGGCGTCGGAGTTGTTCTGTGACTTCTCTAAATTCTCTCCTTCGTTTCAACGTGTATGTTGATATGTCTGCAAACACTAACAGTCCCCCATGCGGTTCAGGAAGCGTCTTCTTCGCTCTGCTTGCTTGTAGCACTAATTCTTTCACATGGTAGTAGTGCATTCTGATGAGGATGTCTCGTGGGGTGTCTGGAGGTAGAAAACTGGGTTTGGCGGTTCGATGGTACCTGTCCATGAGCAACAGGTCTAGCGGTATGTCTGGCGCCAGCGCTTTCAGCAGATTTGTCAGATAGGCCGCCAGCTCTGCGGGTCCCACCTCCTCGCTCACTCCGCGAATTCGCAGGTTGTTGCGGCGAGCTCTGTCCTCAATGTCTGCCAGCTTTATCTCATACTGCTGCATACGGTTTTGTATCCCTGCCATTTCTTCTTCCATCCCCCTGCGTGCCTCCTCTAGCTCTGCCACTTTAACCTCAGTCCCAGCAGTTCTCACCTCCAGTTCTTTTAGGTCATCATGTAGTGCTCCAATTGTGGATTTGAAGCTATTCTCCAATCTTGCAGACATTTGTTCTAGCAGTGTCTGCATCACCTCTTGTGTGAGGGGGCCAGCTGCCACTGTGTCTGTGTGCAGTGATTCACCAGCCTCCTCGGCGCCATCTTGGCCCTCATCCTGCATCAAGACCTGTCTCCCCTGGTGTGTCCGTGCGGCAAAAAATGCACTCCGGTCCGTTTTTTCCGCCTGCCTTTTCCCCTTGCTTTGCGACATGCTCGTTGGGGTATATGGTGCCCCGTTTTTTCGTGGCTAGCCGCCAAATTACTCCTCTGTGGGTGCCGTCGGAGCGGAGCGCTCAGCACATGCGACCGCTCAGTACCGCCGCCAGGACCCAATTTGACATTTTTGAGAAATAAAACACTAAATTGCTGTTCTAAACAATATTTGGTTATTTTTAACTTTAAGATAACATAGTTATCTACATGGGGACGCGGCATTTTCCTCATAGAGATGCATTGATTCAATGCATCTCCATGAGGAGGTGCTGATTGGCCAAAACGGCGTTTGGCCCCATCCCTTGCAGATTTTAGCCAATCTAATGCTTTCCCCATGGGAAAGAATTTCATTGGCTAAAAATCGGCAATTCTGATGATGTCACCAAGCTAGCACCGGCAGATCCGCGCAGTGCTGGAATTAAGGTGAGTTTTAATTGCCTTATCTGTTTGCACTTTAAAATAACTCTGATAATAAAACAATAAAAAGTAATATCTGTATAAGATTTCACTTTTCAACATAAAGACTGGACATTCTCTAGTTCCCTTAGTTGATGGGCAAGATTCAATTTCATTGTACCACTTCCCATCATCTATGGTGTCTCGAGTATTAAAGGAACACTATAGAGTGAGGCACACAAACTTGTATTCCTGACCCTATTATGTTAAAACCACCATCTAGCCCCCGTGGCTCCCTATTTAGGGAATAGCCCCCTGGTCATTCTAGTAACTGTGTCCACTAATATGTCTGCAACATTCTGCTTGTCGTGTAGTTTTATGGTTTCCTACCAATGATCAGTGATTACAGTCTAATCCAAATCCACCATTAAATGATGCCGTACTGTAGACACGTTGTTTGGGTTGTTATAATGTTAATGTTTTTTCGAAGCACACTGAAGCATTCCTACCCCCTTTGTGCTGCTGGTGTTTGATTTATTGCTCAAACCTTTCATTGGAAGCCCATATAACTGAAATGTGTTTTCATCCCCCAAAGCTGAAACCCATAAAGAAAGAAAGAGAGTGTTTTAATGAACATACCCTGCAGAATCCGTTCCTTGAAGCTTTGGTCATTCATGTGAATCAAAGCTCCTGAAAAGTAGGTCATATTGTAAAACTGTCTGAGCCTTCACAGATTATAGCATTCAGCAGTTTTCTCAGATGATCATTTGTGTCATTGAGGGAGGTGTGAGTGTAACTATTAAAAATAGAAAATATTTTTATTAAAAAAGGAAACTAAAATATGTTCTTTTTAGTAGAAGATAAATTACATGGTGATTGGATTTGTGATGTCCAATGGCAATAAAAAGCTTTCTGGGAATTTGCGAGAGGTAACTTGCAATTTTTCCACTGTGTTCCATGGTTTTAAGGCACTGTTATCTTTTTTTATATTTGTTAAATTGTAATAAATTCCTTGTTAAAGCATGAAAAAAAATAAAATAATGCATGGGACGTGTCTAATTTGCTTTTTAATTACCATTATTAAAATATTCCCTGTGGTTATATTCTGCTGTTACACAGAAGTGATGTTGGAAGGAAGGGATAACCTGGCTTTTTTTAGGGGGTGGAGGGGACTACAGATTGATGTTCAGGAACAATCGGTCTAGTATGGCGGGTTCTGGGAGATCATATCTGGATTACGACTCCAATAATGCACAGGTAGCCTATATCACGGCTCTTGCAGAAGACACCAGGTGCTGAGGCATTATTTGCATACTTATTAATATACACCAGATAGCTCTGTACAGCAAGTTGACTTAGTTGTCCAAAAGGGAAATAGATACATATAGTACATACAAATCATTAACCTCCATAACTTTAACTGCAGCATGAGAACATTTTTTATTTGTATTTGAAGACATTTCAGAATAGATATCGATCTGAACTTCTCTTGCAGCTGTGGGAATCTAAACCCACGTGAAGATGGTAAATTGCCTAAAATTTTTTCCATTTCTCAATAATAAGACAATTATTGCTGAAGGTTGAATTTTCTATGCAACTTGGTTCCAGATTTACTAAAGAGATATTGTAATATAGGCTATAGAAATGTGCTTGATCGATCTTTAGTAAAAAAAAAAAAAACATACAAATAGTAGGAGGCTCATACATATATCTAAGTGGATTTTTTTTGTTTAATTATACTGTAAATAGTCAGCACGAGTCGTTCAAGGCAGGAAACATTATTATATAAGGGTTGAGCCAAGTCTGGAGAAAAATATCTATTAATCGTTATTTACAAATGGGGAGAACAATATTGAATTTAAAAAAAAAATAAAAAAATGTGACGATATTGCATCAATAGTCATTTCTTTGTTTAATCACTTTGAGTACTATATGATCATTTGGATTAGTGTTAGAGAGATACTATGTCTCTGGCTTATAATTTACATATCCAATCTTGCTTCCAAACAATTATGGGTTTAACAAAAACAAAACCGCAAACCAAAAAAAAAAAAAGGTTTTCATCTTATTCACATCTTCCAATATAATATCCGTACTGCATTTTTGTTGTTGTTGTTGTTGCTCACTCTTGCTATTTATTTGACAATTAATAGTTTACTCACCCTTAAATACAGGACTGTTGTTCTGTACAGAGTAATAGCTTTTACTGTGTTTTCCTGCAAATAGTCTTCTGCCTAGGCCTGATCTCTGCAATTTTGTAATTGCTTCTGTAATCTTTCATGTAATCTGACGGTTTACCAAGCCTGTTTGTTTTTATGTGTGGTTACATTTTGGTTGAATGGCCTGGATATATGAAAGCTTGCGGAGGGTCCCCCCCCCCAGTCTGTGCAGCTACATTTGAGATCGCTTTGTGATCCCTTGAGCCTATGTAATGACATCTTTAACCCTTTAAAATGGGAATGCATTTCTCTGATGCTAAGATACATTATACTCATTAAAAAAATGTGAATTTAGCCATATGTGTAAACTTAGTCCATCTGACAATCTTTCTAATTGTAACAATAGACCAAAGAAGGTGTTTTGTTTTCACTGTACCTCTTTGCATATTCAAGACTATTTTACCATTTTCTCTTTCATAAGGATATTTCTCATACCTCCAGGGTAGGACTTATGTCCCACATGGCCAATTTGGATCAATTTGGGGAGATCTAAGCTTGCATCATTAAAACAGCAGTTGTCAGCTATTTCTATAAATTCTATTGTAAGTTGGTACAGTGTGTTTAATAAATAATCATGTTTGTAAACATTATATTTAGCCCCTGGCAACAGTGATACAATTATGATAAATGTCCACAACAAAATGTCTCTATCTACAATTGTGAAATACAACAGCAATGAAAGTATCCTTCTTTTGATATTTCCCTATTTGAACTTTAATGTTGGCTCTTGTTAGTGTATCCCATATCCCTCTTTCGAGCACATTAATTTGAAGGACAGTTTGGATGCCATAACAACTTCAAATGAAGTTGTTATGGTGCAAGGAAGTTCCTGGCACTGGCTCCTCTTTAGGGCATAAGGTGTTCATGAACAGTTTAACCCCAAAACCTGTCTTCCAGTGCTGGATCACTCTGCCACCCTGTAATTTCGCTATCTGTACTCTTACATAACGGAAGGGTCTGGCAGGGGTGCCCCTGATTGGCTTAAAGCTAGAACACAGACTTTGGGGTTAAACCTATCATGAACGGTTTAACCCCTAAAGGTGAGCCAGCACCAGGGACCTTATGGCAACATAACATAACCTAATCTCTGTAAACTATTCTAGTAACCTACTCTTTCCCGTACATTAAATATCCTACCCATACCGCTTGTGCCACTTTACCCCCACTCCCTCTGAAATGTAAGCTTGTTTGAACAGGGCCCTCAGTCCCCTCTGTTCCTGTGCATCCAACTCGTCTTATTGCAAATAGTCCACATATTGTACAACGCTACAGAATTTTTTGCGTGTTATAAATAATAATTTTTCGATAACGTTTTTAGGATGCCCGGAGTTTTCCTTTAAGGTTTGGTTTAAATACGGTGCATTGCATTGGATTGAATCTGTATTTGAAGTACCCCAAGGTTTGCCACACAACAAGAAAAGCAGGTCATCAGTTTCTTGCTAACACGGCTGTCACAGGTAGAAAACAGCTGGATTTGCCACTAATACCAAGTTTCCTGTCCATAACAGAGGGTGCATCGACAAGAAAGGTGAAGGAGAAATAAGCTGCTCTCTATTGTGTTTATAATAGGCTATACTTCATTTTATTTAATATTTACAGAAGTGAGGAAACTAATCATATGCTGTTGTATAAAATAGCTACATATCACCTGCTATGCTTTCCTGGAAATGAAATGAATGTCTGCAAGTGCTAACTACAATTGTGTTTTTCTAATTTATGTTTCAGTGGACAGAACTTGCAATTGGTGTACACTGGTCTAACATTGTTCTCGCCTGTGCATGCATTCCAAAACTGATATATATGTACTGGAGTCTAATGTTTCTTACTCTGTTTAATATTAATATCAACAATAAGTGTAGGTAGTAGGATAGTTATGGTTCTCCTTAAGGCTGGAAAGATAAACACTGCAAACCCTTTCATTCTGCAAGCTTGGAATAATTATACTCCAACTGCAATTTAAAGGGACACACCTGTATTATAAATTAATACCTGGAGTGATTTAAAAATGTTCCTGCCCCTTCCATTCCCCCTTAAAACTATTAACTTACTTCCAATCCAGCCATTGGAAAATACATCATTAGTGATGAACTCCTGCCAAACCCATTGCTTACAGAGTTTATAAGAACTCCCCATTCTAATATCAAACTATTTAGGGATTAGTTTGACATAAACTATAGCTCTTCTCCGGCTGCTGTTATAATGTGAAATTAACACTTTCACATTAAGATTAGCAATGCCAGTTCCACCCAATCTGGATAGCAATGATTGTATTAAAGTGCTGAGGGTGGTTTGACATAACACTGTTTTAATGACATTGTGACCTTTGCTTTTGAGCTGTCTTCCCTCTTCTGTCATTAACTGGTGGGAGAGTTAGTCCAATGGGACAGAAAATTCAAAACATGGTGAAAAAGAAGAACAAATTACAGTATGTATGGGGCACAATCTGAACCCCTACCAGAGGGTCTGACTTTCAGGGTTATTCAGTAAAACAGTGATGGACTAGAGAGTTGCACAGTTTAGATAGCTGAATCAGATACACAACTGATTATTAAAGGGACACTGTAATCTTAATGTAGTTGTTCTGGTGAGTATAATAGCTCCCTTCCGGCTTTTTTTTTTTTCCCCTCTAGAGGCACCTCCAAGTGGCCACTCCTTAGATGACTACTGGAGGTGCTTCTTGGGTCAGTGCTGCTGAAAAACCAGCCTTGATGTTTAGTGTCCCCACGCTCTGTCTGCATGGAGACTCTGAATTTTCCTCATAGAGATGCATTGATTCAATGCATCTCTATGAGAAGGTCCTGATTGGCCAAAATGGCATTTGGCCCCCATGCCGATTTTAGACAATCCAATGCTTTCCCTATGGCTAAAAATTGGGCATTTTTAATATTTCACAAAGGGGGTGAGTTTTAAACTTTTATAGAGGGGCTAAGGGAGGGCAAGCCACGTAAATAGTGGGTTAAACACTATAGGGTCAGGAATACATGTTTGTGTTCCTGACCCTATAGTGTTCCTGTAAGCCAATACATCTCAGTAGTTCCATAGAGCTCTATAATGTGGCTTATGTCAGTGATTTTCAAAATTAGAGAGAAAAAAACCCTGCAAGTCTGATAAAATTCCTAAATACCCCTGCCTCAAAAAAGTAATTTCTATTGATTTAAATTCCAAATTAAACGTGTAGACGCTGATATTTAAGTTAATTCCATATTGGAGAACAAGCCTGATTAAAGCTTGTAAATAATATTTTTTACATAAATATGGCATAATATGATTATTGTGTATGTAAGGAAAAGTGTATGAACTATTAATCTGAAGTATAAAAGCCACAAAATGAAAATATAATCCACACTTGATAGTTACACACAGAGGACACTGACACAAATTCACACTTGTAGACAAAGAACACTGACACCACACCGTTACACACAGGACATTGACACGCACGCACGCGCACACACACACTCATTCACATTTATACACCGAGAACACTGATGCACAGTTACACACAGAGGACACTGACACACATACACAAACAAAGAGGACACTGACAAATACAAATTTACACACTAACAAATTTACACAAAGAGAAAAAGAATGCACATTTGCTTATTAACACACACTGACTGACACACACATTAAATGACAGAAACACACACTCAGTGATTTGAAACATACACATTGTCTGACACACAATTACAAATTCATATTTGTATTTTTTTTTTTTACTTGAGCCCACCCAGCCTTCCTACCTTAGAACTGGAGTGGATCGTTTACCTGGTGTCTAGTGAAGCTGCTGTCCCCTTGTACTCTTCTAGCACTGCTCCTTCGTACACTGTTTAGTGATTCCAGGTCCGGAGTGACATCATAACCTGGTTCCCGGCATCACAGCAGAGAACAGTACTGGAAGAGTACAGGTATCAGCGCTCCCTGGCCAGCCACCTTCATTCTCCCCTCCGGCAGAATCTCCCCTATTCAGCACATTCAGGCAGATTAGTCACCTGCTGTCCAAGCAAGTAGGTGCCTACTCTGCCTTAGCTTCTGGTGTGTCCCCTGTTGGGGTGCCCATGCCTCCTGGGTATTTTGAGTTTACTGCAAGCGTTTGCTGTGTGTGTATATGGAAGTCTTATTAATTGCATGTTATTGCTGGTG